TATAAAGACAGATTAGATGTCCCATCTGCACAGGAAGTGTTAGAGCCCTGGTCTGCTGACCAGGAGGACCTGTGCTGGCAAACCCGACATCTCTGCCCCCTCTTTCCTCTGCAACCCATCCCTCCACCATTCGGAATTTCCTCCAGTTCCTCAAATCCTCCATGCTGTCCTTGGCTGGACGCTCTGGGCTGGGGCTGGGGCTGGCAAACAAGGCCTTGCCCTCCGGAAGCTCATGGTGGGTAGGGGATGTGGGCGAGTGGGCAGGCAGTTCAGAGGATGGGGTGTGCATGAGCTGAGCAAGCATCTAAGAGGGGTGACCAACAGAGGAGGGAGTGACCACGCTGGGGAAGGCCTCCAGAGATCTGCCGAAACTGCCATAAGCCGCCTTGGTGTTGTGGTTTGACAAAGTATTGGCGTCCACCACCAAGGGGCCAGAGCTGCTGCCTCCTAAGTGTTCTCCTTTCACGGGTCCAGGATTTGAAGGTTGATTGTTGTCACTGCCAAAATCGTGGTACCTTCCACCAGCCCCAAAACTTTCCATCATCACCAAACCCATTATAGCCTCCCAACCCGACCACCACCTGGCTGCCACCAAAGCCACCTCCACCACCGAAGTTTTCTCCACCACCAATGTTGTCATTCCCACCAAAACCACCCCCATGACCACCACCCAAGTTCCCAGAACCACTTCAGCCTCTGGCTGGACAAAGCCCTGGCCATCTCTTGCCTGGACAGGGGTTTCCTCACTTCACCGTTGTGGCCATTCACAGTGCGGTACTTCTGAATGACAGTTTGTGGAGTCACAAAGGTCACAAAAGCAGAGTCTCTCGTCTTACCACCCCCTTGGTCGGTCAGGATTTCACCCACTTCAGTTCTCCCGCAATGTCCACACTAACCTCGTGGGTGACGTCCCCCAGTGCTGCCTTTCCTGCCACCCACAGAAAGCTCTTCTACAGTGAAATGGGCACCCGGTCCTGGAGAACCTCCTCTCAAGAGCCCTCTGTTTCCACCACTTTCCCATCCCCTTCTCGTGGCACTGCCTTTCCGGCTGCACCCGCCTTTTCCACAGGGACGCTTGGCGTCTAGGTCTCCCACCAACATAGTGGTGGGCGTTCCCCACGGCTCAAAATCCACCCTCTGACTCACCCGCTGTTTCAAAGCCCAGCTCTCCACGGAGCCCTTCCGCGGCTGTTACAGCCCTTTGCAAGCCTGGCTTAGACGTGGCAGAAGCAGAAGGGGAGGTTGGAAGGATGCTTACTCTCCAGCACCCACAGGCAGGAAGGAGGGGTGTATTTTTTTAAGTACATAAATCACATACTTAGTACGTATCCATTAGCATCTTGGTTATTTTCAATCAACATTTTTTTTTGAGATTTGCTCAGGTTGATATACAGAGATCTGGGCCATTTCTTTGCTGTAGAATAGACCATCACAGAAAGGTAACTGGGGAAGGTCTTCACCAATAGAGGTTCAGAGTCTGTTGGAAGAGACCTGGAATTGTCCAGAAACCTCTGTTCCAGGAAAAGCAAAGGTCAAACTGGGTTCTTCTGCAAAAGGATTTTCCAATTAAGGATTGAGAACATAAGCATATCATTAGAGCAAAGCTGTCAAAGTGTCAGTATCTCCTCTTGGCCTTGGGAAAAAATGCATCTTAGAAGCAGGAGGCGACAGCCTCATTTGGCACGTTGCCTCATCTCCCTGTGATGCTGCAGGTGGGTGTGATGAAATAAGTGATGTATCTGTCACCTCCACAACTCAGAGGAAACTTCCTTTTACAGAACTGGTCATCTCAAGCAGTTAATACAATTATTGGCAAGATTAAGTCAAAGCTGAAATTAAAATGAGCAAAACCTTAAAGTTATACATTTTTAAAGAATTCCTTTGGAAAGAAAAATAGTAAAAAATAGAATAAGCTGTTTAGGTACCCTCGCATCATACACACAAAATCTGAATTAGAAGTATATGCCGTGTGTGTGTGTGCATGTGTGTGTGAGCTATCGTTGCAATGTTGTCATGTAACAAACTACCCCAGATTCGGTGGAGGACAACAGTGAGCATTTACTCTCGTGCCGGTGGGTCTGCAGGTTGACTGTGGGTTGGCTCAGCAGAGCCTACCTGTAGTTTCGGTGCTAGCAGATTTCAAGCATCTCTCATGCTCCTCACCCCGGCAGCTCCCCAGAGCAAGAGGGCTAAGCCAAACCACACAGGCACTTTCAAGGCCTCTGCTGTCCTCTCATCCCTAAATGTTCCACCGACCAAAGCAAGTCACATGGCCAAGCTCAACATCAACCACACAGGGAAAAATATTCTGCCCACAGTGGGAAGAATTGCAGAGCTACGTGGGAAAGAGCGTGAATAGAGAACAGGGAGGGGCTGAAGTGCTGATTCAGTCCACCACGATGTGTGAGTAAGGAACAAAATTGGTAACGGTTACGGGCCATAGAAGCCAAAAACTTGCTCTACCTGAAATGCAGTCTTATAAACAGCATGAAAGGTAAGAAATCCTTTTTAAAATCTGCTTTGCTAAACGAGTAATCTTTGCCAGTGTTTCTGGCCCCAGCTTCAAAAACCCAGTAATGAAAATCTTAGCAGGAACCCTTGGAATTTCTTCCTGGGGCTGCATGCTGCGAACCACTCAGATTTTAAAGCCGAATCAGTTTCTTGCAACAAAAAGTTGGGTTTGCTGAATGGGGTAAAATGCCTTTGGCATTCCTAGCATCCGCCTCTACCTCAGCTCTGGACTCAGCGACCAGCAACAGAGTTCTATTGTTACACCTCAGTACTCACATTGTCCCAGTGTTCTCTGGAAGGCACAGGAGTCGTACAAAGTCACCCTGAAGAATGGTGGACAATCTGGGTGAAATGGAGTCACCCAGACATCAGGTTGGAGTATCCAGCCCCACCATTCACTCGCCGTCGCTGAACCTGACCAAGCCGCGTGATCTCTCCTTGTCTTTAAGATGAAAGGCTTGAACATGAGGGATCCACCCTCAGCCGCTCTTGCTACTCCCAATCCAACTCTTGATTTTTTTAATTAAACATTTTATTCTGACATAATTGTAGATTGACATACACTTAAGAAATAATACAGAAAAAGTCTGGCATGCCCT